TTTCGTGCAGTGCGCGGAGTCTTCTGCGGCCTTTTTGGGAACTACAGGAATAATTCGGACGATTTCCGATTACATGCAGAAGCGGTTGTTCTCTGAGCGAGCAGATTAATTCTCCCTTGGAGGAGGGATAAGAGAGTTCAGACCAGGGGGCTGTGCCAATAGTTGGAAGCGTCGCGACGGAGGTTCTAGCGCAATAATATGTGACAATAGACTAACAATAGGTTTTATTATCAAAGTGCAACAAATGAACGATTGTGTGCATTGTTACTTTAATTTAGAGCAGTAATAATCGCAAAGTTTTTAGTAATTCAAAACGCATCGTTATTCGAAAGACGTGATTTATTTCTGCATTTTTTAAATCAGGTAACAGTACTCAACATCATCAATATATTTTTTCTTAAACTTACTTTTTGAAAATGGAGTGTTTATTATTATTCCGAACGATATATTATAGTAATTTGTTAAAAGAAAAACTTGTAACCCACGAGCCACATAATATTTTATATTAATTTTCATTTATGTTAACTAAAGTGAAAACAATTACAAGGAATGCCTAAGCAAAGTAAGTTGCTGAAATGGAAATGAACTTTGTTTTAATAAGGTCATTGTCAAAGTGACATGCACAAATTGCCTCATTGCAATGTACGTAAATTCTTGTGACAAAATAAACCTCTCAGACGTGGGTTGTAATAACTTTCTTTATAAGTGGTTAAACTGCATCACAAATAGCGAGAGATGTTTTTACGGCAATAGCGCTTCAGCGCAACGTAATTTCTCACGAACAAAATAATGATCTTTTAGCCACGTGTGCTGTTCAGCAATTTTTTTTTACAATTATTTGGTGAAAATATTTATTTTTGTACATGGACATAATAATGTACATAAATTAATGTAATTCAATTAATGTATTTTGAACAATGAAACATTCAATCAATGTAATATTTAATGGTTGCAATGATATACATTGACCGCAAACAAGAAAATATGAATATCATGAAATTATTCATATTATGTGAAATGAAAGTTTAGCAAGTGAAAAGTCGTTAATTATTGTAGAATTCATGGCCATGATGTAATTAGAAAGGTAGTTCATGGGATTTGGTCGGAATTTGAGCCCCACCGATTCCCGTGTACCACATTTCTGAAAAATTGTTGTTATGAACATTCTTGAAGAAAAAATAACCAAAAACCCAAGTTAATGTATTTTATTGGCGTATTTTGCCAAGAAGGTGTGCATATTTTGTGCGATTTTTTATGCAGTTTTGTTATGCATTTGAATATTATCACCTTAGTGGTTGTAAAAATTCAAATGGTCATTATGGGTTCAGTAGAGTAAATGTAAGGCATTTTTTAAAAAAATCCATTACATTGACGAAGTATACCATCAGCATACCAATTTATATTAATTTTGTATTCGATCCAATAAAAAAATTGGACGCAAATCTACGATAATTTTTTAAAGTAATTTATTTACTATTCAAGTAGAAATTGAAAAAAAAAATATACGATGATGCGCATTTGATTTTCTTTCAACAATAAAAAAGTCGTTTAAACTATTCTTTGGTAACTAAGAGGTAATAATCACCATTGGGATAGTTTCAAATTGGTGTTTTTGACATCGAATTAAAAGATGCTTAACAAATTATAGAATTTAATATACCTACTCCCCTCGCATTAAATACTACTAAAGAATGACTACAAGATTGTGGAAAATTTAATATTGTATTTGGAGATGGCAGAGGGTCTTCGTATTGATACATTTGGATGGGCAAATATTTAGGAAAATTGTCAAGACCTACATAAACAAGATTTTATAAATATAATTATATGTATTAGTGTGGCGAAAAATGTGGATGAAGAGTGGCTACGCACATTATCGTAATTATTTTTTCTTTGAACAAATTTGGCAGAAATAAATATTCTTGCAAAATGTTTTTCTGTTCATCGAAGTATAAATGATAGCGACAATATAGAGAGATAAGGAAATGACCTTACAAACGTTGGAAACTCAGTTGTGTGGATATTATTTCAGGTTATAAAACACGAGATGCTATTGGTACACTGGAACTCTCCTTGGGTGCCACATTTCGGCAGAAGGCCGAAACTTGGACCGCATCAGCATTATAATGAATACCGACGTCATAGTAATTACAATAACGACTTTTAATTATATTTGTCGCTTCATACTGTAGAAGTACTAGTCTTCTATTGCCTTGTCTATTGTATTGTTTTTGTGGTCTGTTGCAACTATTGATGTTTTTTCTAGTAGTGTCGTTGCACCTCAGTTAAATTTTAGTTAAGTATTTTGCTTTATTAGAATGCATGTGACAGTTTGTGTTACCTGATAGTAGTTTCAGAGCATTAGATTTGTAGAGCGCTAGGGTCAAAGAAAATAATAGTTTAGTGTTTTTAATAAAAAGCAATTTCCAGAGTCATACTACTTCTATATACCTTACCACTGCATTCTGCTCGGTGACAAGGCGTATTGTCATCCGTAAAAAACATCCTTGTTTGGAACATGAAGACCATGAATGTTCCAAACAACGATAGACTGCAAGCGGTAGAATGCAAATAGACTCCAAGTTCCTGAACATAACTATTTTCAGTCAATGATCACTGCTTATTTTTGATTCCTCATTTTTGGTAATGCAATAATACCATTTTACCCCTTTATTACCCCATATTTTACCCCTCACTCAGTCTTCTTCTTTTTCTCCAGTACCCTCTCATCCCTTTACATCATTTTCATTATTCTGATATATTATTACTTTATAATTTGGTGGCTATGCGGTATACAAAACTTCTTTGTGCTTGACGTTTGAGAGACATGTGATGACGCCGAAAATGGTTTCCTAGTAACATCATACCAACTCTTCCAGTATTATAATATTTATATGTTGCCACCCAATCGTAATGAATAAATGAAGGGGCAGGGTGGTGTGCTAGCAGAGCGCTTTTGCTTTGCATTCATGGCGCCCAGTACCAAAATATCTCCAGATTAAAAGTTCCAAACACTATAGGTATCGGATTGAAAAATTTCAAAAGTGTGGGCCTGAAATCTGGTATTTGATTTATATTGCCCACGATAGATCATACATGCAAATGTCAAGAGCGGCAACGCTGCCACTACTGTGACTCAACTGACAAGCACAGAGATGAATGGCAGAATGTGATGAGCTGAGTGTTTGCTATATATTTGGTATACTATCTTTCATTTTGCTTTGCAACCATCATCTTGAATCTTATTTTCTAGATTCGTAACTGGTTCTGTGAAATCGTGTTTTTGTTTTGTTTCGTACTTTAAAAACATTTACCGTGAATTTAATCGCCATTAGCTATATACATCCGTCGAAAAGTTCATTTCTAAAATTACACGAGATGAATCTGAATCGTACCTCCTAGTCCTACTACACCCATGCCCCACGTGGCCACTTTCTTGGTCCAAACACCTCTACGTGTACTTTCCCACGCTCATTCTGCTCCTTATTCCTGTATCCGCCCCATGGCCCGGCGGAGCGCTGGGGCTGGCCCCCGCCCCCGCCACCGCCCCCCCTCGTCGCGCCCTCCCGCGGGACGCAGGCCCCCTTTTTGCTTAGCGCACCCGGCTCCTCAGGACCCTTTGCTGTGGCGGCCCTTCGCAGAGCCCGAGGCAGCAACGAGCACTAGACTGCATTTGGATTCTGGTTGGGAAAACGTATTTCATTTGCGCTAATTAGACAGGAAGAACTGAGGGTTCTGGGGATGGAGGTGGAAATCGATATGCAAAAAATTAAAGCAAATTTCACTATAAATAGCTATTACTTGTGTGTATTATGATTGGCGTAAAAATAAGAAATAAAAGTTTGAAAATTTTAGAACTTATTTCATTTAATCGTGTTTTTTTATTATTTTTATTATTCAAATTGGTGAAAGGTTGCGAAGAATAACGGAGAAGCATTGTGCTGTCAAAATCTGGTCTCTAAACTGTTACTCTCCCTCTGGCGTATTAAAAACAATGTTTGAACCTGTTACGTTAACGTAAATCATAGGAAAATTATTAAATAGAGATGCATATGCCTATATCAATGAATGAAATAATTTTTGTTGTATTACGAGCTGATGCGTAATATTATTTACATAATTATATTGTGCAATAGTGAATGATAGTTATTGTAATCTGGCCCCTTAGTACTTTATTTTCTAGTAAATTTGTATTAAAGATTACACAACGAAATGTTTCTGAGGTAGGTTATAAGGAAAGATGCCATCATCTTGATAATGCAGTGTGAATAGTTATCGATTAAATAAAAAAAGAGCCCGCGTTTCAGCTATCCTTGGGGCCTTTATTTCCTTCGATTCTCATTACATCTTACATCTCCAAAATCATTCACTAATTTAATTCTCATTAATTAATTATCTATCTCGCGGTGCTTCCTGACATCCGACTTCTCTCGCCCTAAACGTCTCACCCCTAATCATCTGAGAAACGTACACTACTGAACTTCCGCAAGTGACACTTTACGTATGCTGCGTGAGGAATACATTTCGGAAGGACAAATCTCTAACGATAAATATTTTCGTTTTAGAACGACCCGATACACTAAGTCTTTCGTGATATTGTGTACAGCCCTTTCTTGAGAAGCTTGCGGACCCCTGGTGTGAGCGTGAGTGGGCGCGTGGCAGGCTGGCAGGCCTGCGTGTGGGCTTGGGGGTCGCCAATCCCAAGGGGCCCCAAGTTGCTGCCCGCCGCCGGCCACCGCCCCGACCGGCGCGCCGGGGAAACTCCTTTGTTTTAATTGAGAAGCCGCGTTCCATTATACCTGTTCCCTGGAAATAATGATAAAGTAAAGCACAGAATTAAGCGTAGGTGTTATTACTTAACTCGTAAATAGCTTTAATGGAGAGTACAGCAGTTTAGAAGTTGAGAACAAGATTAGGAATTTAAGTTGGCTTTTAAAATTTTATAGCCTTAATTGTGTTACCCTGTTCTAATTTTTATTGTTATTGCGATTGCGTCGCAGGTCGCGTGGCTCGGCGTCGCCGCGGGGCCCTCGCCGCGGCCCCGGCCGGCGGCCGTCACCCTACCCACCGCCCGCAGCCCTACCCCCGCGCCGCCGGCGGTGGGCCTCGGCCACGGGGGCATCCGGTTCGGCGGCGCGCGGCGCGCGCGGCGGCCCTCCCCTCCTTCACACCGGCGCCCTACGCCTTCTTGGCTCCGTCAGCACCAGGTGAGTGCCAGGCTATTGTTGGGAATTCTTTTTCCTCTTAGATTCTCCATTCCGTTTGTAATTTGCGAATTTTCTACGGAAAAAGGAAATGTGTTGATGTACGAAAAACACTTCAAATTAGATCTGAAAAAAGTTATAATTAGATCAACACTTCTTCGATCCTCAATGAAAGATGCGAAAACATGGAAAATGTTGAATTAAGAAAATAAATTTTTTCAATAAATTACTTTTTTTTGGTCTCGAATGAAATCAAGGTAGTCGAAGGTGAAAACATTTAAATGAATTGTTTAGATGAAAACAGAAGTAAGCAATGATTGGTACGAGTAATCTATACTAATAATAATATAAAGACACTATAGGCCAGTGATCACTGGTCACTATAGACCATCAGGATCACTATAGACCAGTGGCGGTTCGTAACCTTCTAGCAGTGTTGCACAACAACCAGAAATTGTGAACCAAAGTCTTTTGAAACGTTAGCATTAAAACGAAATCACTTTAATAACGTGCGAGTGATCTATCTTCGAAAGAACTTCTCTACAAGCGCATTCGAACAGATGGCACTGTTGCATATACTCGTGGACGAGTTCTATGTGAGCTGTTTTGAGTGTGCAGAGAAATACTGTAATTTCAAGTAGTCAAACGTCTCGTAGATGTGAGTTTTTGACAATGAATTCTGTACAGGGTTAACAGGATAAAAGTTTTTCTCAGCTTTCTAATGAAGAAGAGCAGATAATAAAAGAACTCGGCACACCATTTTACAGATTTAAATATATTGCAAATTGTAAAGGGGGGAAATAGACAATTTAGAGGGTTTTTAAAAGAGATAATATTTTAGAAATGCGTGTTTCTATGGATGTGGGTTGAAAATACGAAAACCATTGGGAGCGTCTTGAATTTTCACAGAACTTAAACCGCTCAAGATTAAAGGAGAAAAATATGTTTTATCTGAAAGTCCGATCCCTAGGAATGACTTCTGTCTGCAACAATCTGGTTCGTGCGACATCAGCTGCCACTGCTATAGAATATGGTTTTTAACCATAAACCTTAATATATTTACAAAATAATTACTTTTCTTGACTTTTTCACCTAGCATTACATTATAGGTTCAAGAGAATCAATGTAAAATAGTTTCGCTCCACGCCACCGGGGGATGACTACAGAGATGTACGATTGAGTTCATCAATGCTCAGAATTGCGAATTTGTAGAAGAATATATATTGTCACTGTCAATTGCCTAATCCAAGATGATTCTGAGTTTTTCTCCGCTATATTTTTAAACATAACTTGACACAGATTTTAATTGCGTCTCGGCGAGAATACATTAAGTGAAACTACAAGATGTAAAACAAACGTTTTGTCTTCATGTGTTCTAAAAACTCATGTAGTTCATTTGTTTACGAAAACTAGTAGTTTCGCATATTTCTGCTTGAAATTAATGAAATATATACAGATGTCTCACCATCTACGGGACACGAGAAAAATCCCCAGAAAACAAAAATTAGTTAAAAGGATATGGAAAATAATTCATTTAGCTTTAATTATATTTTACTACTAAAACTTCTAATATTAATTCGATTTTTACTCTTTTCTACAATTTATATTCTCAATGTATTGATGCATTTTCTTTCAAGCATTCCGTAAACTTTCATTTAAATCCACCAAATTAGGTTTTCTCTGATAAAAATACTATTTAAATGAAATATGAAAGAAAATTGGAAAAATTTAGTTCCATAATTTTGTATCAACTTTTATACAATAATTTCATATTACGACCGTACGATAAATTGGGCAACAATAATATCGTAGTTTTGAATACATTCATAATGCGATGTATTGGAATACCCTTAATTTTGGATATTCAGTTTATATGTGAAATTATCCTTGCTTGCCTGTATGTTATACGTGTAGTAATATTATTTGGAGAAAGTATGTACTGTTGAAGAACTACTAGTTTCTCTCTGCAAATTATAAGTAGAAAATACTATAAAGTTATAAATATAATATTTAGAATAATTAAATCTGTTCAAAGTTATGCAGTGTTAATCAGTAACGTGGTCACGATTTGGATTTCTTTACGATTGCGGAATATATTCTTTGAGCGTAATTGCGTCCAACAACGTGACAGGATGATGACAATTATATATATTTATAACTCCCATTTTGAATATTCATAAAGTAGTTCTGAAACTTTAAGTAGTGCATAGTAACACACGTGTTAGATCATAGAGAACGTACCCAAATAGATAAATAAGTATCACTGTAAAAACGAATATAGAGATATTGCAGACAGTACGCCCAAGGAAGTCCGCTGTGGACTATTTGCGAGTGGATTCGAAAGCTGGGCAGGGCAGGGCAGGGCCGGCCTGGCGCCAGCGCGCGTGGACGAAAGGGACGCTGTCGTGCGCGCCGCTCGCCGTGGACGCCATGAATAATGCATGCGCCGCCCGCCGCACACGTAGGTCGGCGACGTGCCGCGAAGCGACGCACATGCGATTGAGAGCCAGTCGATGATGGCGCTGTTTTCGTCAGCGGCTGATCCGCGCTTACGGGACTCGCCTGTGCGGCGGTAGTTTTTTTTTTCTTCACTCGCGCGGCTCATCGCGGTTAGGCAAACAGTTTCACTCATGGAAACGGAATTGACAGTTCAGGGATGAAAAACTAATAGCAGAAAATGAATTGTTTGTAAAGATGAAAATCATGGTTCAGATTCATCATCTATCATTCATCAGAAGCATCAGAAATGGTTCATGGATCTGCTGGGCGACTTTAACGAGCCAACTGGCGTGGTGGAACTAACTTGAAGTGAGAAGATGCATTTAAGGCGTTTATTTGTTTATCTATTTCCGTAAAAACGTGTATGAACAGAATTTCAATATAAGTTATTCCAATTTACTGTTTCCTTTCTACAAGCTCGAAACACGGCTGAGAAACCGCACTGTAATGGCCGGTGGAATTCATGGACTCAGACGTGTATTACGAGTTTTTACAAACGTAAGGGAAAATACAGGTATTTTACCTATAAGTGACGAGACAATTTGAGTTAACGACGCATAAGAGCAAGAAACAAAATATTGGATAGATGAATGTTTTTTTAAAAGACCCTTTTATCAGAAAGTGGATTTCATCTTGAGTTTTGGTAGACCTCTAGACCTTTAGAAATCACTACTGGTAAACGATGACAAACGTTTGTTAACCATACAATATACTTCGACGAATTAAACAAACAGACATTTTTAACATTGAATCTGAAAAAATAATTTCAAAATAACTTTCACGAAAGTATTTTTTCGTCAATATAAAGTCCGAAATAAGAAGAAAATGAGATTTATTGACATAAATGCTTAGCTTTGTTGAATGAGGGTTCTGAAATTGGATCTCGCACAATGAGGCTTTGAACAATTTATTAACACAAATTTTAATACTTATTTTTCAATGCAACAAAAGTTAACTGAGAAATAATGACTTTTACATGTTCAAGTTATATATGAACAACTGAATGTAGCTATGTGTTGCGTGTTATTGTCACTGACTTGCTAATACAACGGCAGAGAGAATTATCTTTGCGTTTGACACGTAAAAAGCTCTTTGACTCTCGGAGGCAATTCAGTTGATATTTACTTTTATGCAACTGTTACGCAGTAACAGTTGTTACTTCACACTTTGTAGGCGATTGTAGTATCATTTACATCAGTGGAACTCAAATGACTGTTTTCCATATGACAACTTTCACGTTCTGACAACCTGTGCTGTGGAAAGAGTATTCTCCAAGAATCTAATAAAATATATCTCAGAAATAGCATTGCTGATGTCTCTGTATTGACTTAGATATTAGAAAAAGGAGATAACAATAAGGTATTGCCCACTTTTAACTTGAATAGGTTATTCATTTGACTTTGTCATTCATTAATCAGTTATTGATTATTTAATACCCGTTTCACTAAAAACGAATTACATATTGTATATATGTTTATAACATTAGTCACTGCTATGACTTTTTGCGAAAATATTGCGCAATTTCTCACCTCTGTTTTTAACTTCCCCTTCCCACTCCACCTGCGAGCGTTGTCGCTCTTTCCGGCAGACGTGGGGGCTGCTCCCCAAACAAGGCCGCGATGCCGCCTTCTTTGAAGGCCAGTGCGCCCGTCGCCTCCCGCAGGCCGCGCGCCCTCTGCGCCCGATGGCGCCGCGCAGGACAGTGGGGACCACCGCTGCATTTCCATATTTTCGAATATTCGGATCAGGTCACTTATTCTTCTCTGCCATATTCCCTGGGGCTAGGGAGGGCGCGACGCGCTGCCGAGCAGGCAAAGGGCTTGCCAACTGCTTCCCCGCTCTCTCACCTTGCACCATCTACAACAAAGACCTCTAGCCTTTACGAACGATAGGTATTTTCGAGTTTACATATACAAACGCACACATATGTAGGCATTTTTGTTTGTAGGCGTGTGTGTATTTGCAGGAGAGTTTGTGTTCAGGTGCGTATATGCGGGGTAAGTATAAGCAAATGCACTTAGGTGTGTATTTGTCGGTATGCACTAGTGTACGAAAATTCGTTTGTATGCGATTTTATGAATATATGCATGCACTTAAAGACGTGTTTCTTTATGATCGAATGCTATTTACCTTATGAGGATACGCAGGAAGTACTAATAAGGATTCTAAGCTCTCTGTCGAGAAGAGCATGATATTTTTTTTCTAACATCTGCTTTATTTGCAATTTGTTCTACTCGAACATTCGGCAAATACAATTGTACATACATTATTGACATGTAAAGAAACCATCCAATTCTGGTTCTTTCTAAAAATGGTTTTAAACTAATTGTCCAATTCAGAGAGAAAAACAAAACAAACAAGAACAACAATAAACAACATCACATTGAAATAACAATAACACAATAACAAACAAACATACATTAGTGCAAGCATTGTGACAAAAAAATATATCTACAGTAACAATTATTTTAAAAGAAAAATATTATTTATATCTGTGGTCCAGA